GATGTGTTTGACTAGAAGTTGCGCTGCATATGATAGTGAGGAAACATAATTTTGCGTATATACTATGCTATTTGCAAAACGAACCAGCCTCAGTTTTTCTACTTAATATCTGTGTGACCTCAGGCAAGTTACTTAACCTCCCTTAGCACTTGCCCCTCAGCTTTTTTTTGTGAAGAATAATACACTTCTCAACATTGAATGAAATAACACATGTATAATCTTTAGCATAGTGCCTAGAGCATTGTAGGCAGTCAGTAAATCCTACCTAATATTGTCAGTTGCAATCATTTATATTGTTGCCTACAATATATTTTTATTCCCATTCCAGTCTAAAACGATGTGAATGCCATAATCAATAATACGTAGTATTCCTATGAGTAATGTCTTCCAGCTAGAGTCTTTTATTACAATCCTGTTGTCCCTTCAAATAGATAAGCAAATAAATAATTTCAGAATATTTTCATAATTGCTGTATAGTGTTTTTATCAGCCAGGTTCTCGTTGTTTTATGAATTTAAAGCTGCACTCAAATGAGTAATTTGTAAATAACTCTCATCTTTTTAGATTGGTCTCAGCATTACATTTCTGAAGTTCTGTATTCAGACAATTCCTCCTTTTAAAAAATCATTTTAATCTAATTTAAGCAAGTTGTTTTACATATTGACATTATTTGTTCATTCACTTGGATAGTTTAATCATTCCAGTGGAAATTGTGATTTGCTTGTAGAAGTGTCTCATGAATGCTTATCTGTGTCAGCAGACAACTGTAGCCTATAGATCCAAACCCATGTGTTTTCATGCCCACACCACAGTGTCCCATCCGGCTCCTAGCTTTCCTGCTCCCTGTTTAACCTTTGGCAAGTTACTTAACATCTTTGGGCCTCATCTTCGAACAATTTTTTTCTTAGAGGTGGGATCTCACTATGTTAACAAGGCTGGTCTCAAACCCCTGGCCTCAAGTGATCCTCCCATCTTGGCCTCCCAAAATGCTAGGATTACAGGCATGAGCCACAATGTTTTTGTCTCTAAAATGACAAGATAATAAAAATTACATACACCTCAGAAGATTGTGGATGTATGTAAAGTGCTTCACACCCAGAACATGGGAAGTACTGTATGTTCTATGTAAGTGTGTATTGTGGTTGCTGTTACAGTCATGCTTTGTGTTTGCCACTGATGTTTCTTAACTTCAGGCATTTTGGGTCTTCTAGAGATTTGTTTGTTTTAACATACTTGTTAGTATCTATTTCAAATACCAAATTATTTCTTTACATGTTGGTTGTGGGCTCTTTATTCTGGCCAGGTAATAGTGGAAAGTTACGCTTATCTGTGGAGATTCTATTTTTAAATGGTATCTAGCCATCTGAGTCTATTTTGATTGTGTTTTTATTTCCCCCCGGCAACCAGTTTTTTTTCTCCCTAGATTGTAACAGGCACCTCTGTGAAGCTTTCTCTGTCACCTCACTTCTATCTTTTGTAATCCTCTTCTGCCCCCACCATACCTTCCTCACATATTAGACCTAGTAACTGTCATGTTTTCTTTCCTTGACTACAGTACCTGACCCTAGTAAATATTTGTTGAATTTATGAGTATTCATAATATTGTTGATTTCTTATCACATCCACATCTTCTTACTTTTGCTTATAAACTCAGCATTTTAAGTCCGTTTGAGTAGCCTTCTGCTCTTTGGAACCCTTAAAGATATTAGTAGATGACTTTTAGTCATCAACAGAAATCTAGTTTATATTTTGCATTGCTTTTCTAATGAGTTGGTGAGTAAGTATTGGTGTTAAACTGGCATTAGCCTGATGAAATACACCCTTTGCCACCTTAGAAGTAAAGAAAAAGTGATTCCACTGTCATGTTTTATTCTTAATCCAATGCTTGTAGCAGCTCTGGAGAAAATCATCCTTTCTATTAAAGCATACAGATTGATTTGCAAACAGTAGAGCATTTTCTGAAAATATACCAGTTGCTCTGCTTAATGGTAGTATTATCTTTAGAAACCTGTTTCTTGTAAATCTTTTCTTTTTTAGCTTATCTACTTTCACAAGTAAGGTGCCAAAAATCTATTTGATAGCTGCATTCTCAGTGCAGTTAATTGAATTAATCCTCTTTCAGAGAATCATTCCTGTTAGTATGGATAGAGGGAAATGGTCGAGTCCTCAAGCCACACACTGTCACTTATTTAATTTGTTAGATAGTTAACGTATTCACTGTCTGACTTAAGTTGTGAAAGTTGACAGATTAAAGAGGGTCCTGTACCTAATGATTCATTTATATGGCGTCTTCTTCACCCCGTCAGGACTCTCACAAACTTCCAAATACAGTTGTCAGTGGGGAAGTATTTAGAGTAGGAAATTAAAATGAACTTTGCTGTTCTTTTAGTTGTGGTGTATTTGATTATCCCTAAAAAGTCACACCACTCTCAGAAAGCCATTATACTATTCTAACCATTTAAATTAGAATAATCAGGAGGTCTTTTTTGGTAATATTTGTGGTCACTATTCCAGTGCATGCCATTATGCTGAAGGTCCTACTCGATTGAGGCAAAAACAAAAATAAACGCTAAGGGGTATCTTAATTGGAGAAGAAGAAGTACAACTGTTTTTATTCATAGATGATATGGTCATCTATGTAGAAAATTTGATGAACTCTATTAAAGCTATGAGGACGGTAACTCTAGCAGCTGAGTTTAGCAGGGTTGCAGAATACAAGATCAGTATACAAAAACCAATTGTGTTGATAATCGGTTTCTACATATTATCAGTGAGCAACCGGAAATTGAAATTTCAAAAACAGTACCATTCGCAGTAGCATCAAAACATGTGAAATACTTAAGGATAAATTTGACAAAACCAGTGCAAGACCTGTATGATGCAAACTACACAACAGTGTGGAGAGAAACTAAGACCTCAGTAAAACGGAGAGGGATGCAATGCTTATGAGAGGAAAGCCCCTCAATATGAACAACTGGTTCTCTCCAAAATAATCCATGGATTTGGTGCCTCCCAATCATAGTCTCAGCAGGTTATTTCATGGAAATTATTAATCTGATAGCAAAATTCATATGGAAATGCAAAATATTTAGAATATTTAGAAGAACTTTGAAAAAGAACAAATTTGGAAGACAAATACTACTTGATTTCAAGATTCATTATAAAGTTACAGTAGTTAAGAAGGTATGGAATTGACATCAAGGTAGGTCTATAGATGAGAACAGAATAGAGAGTTCAGAAAGAGACCCACACATATGTGGAAAATTGATTTTTGACAAAAGCAAGTGGGAAGTTCACTGGAGAAATGATTATCTCTGCCAGTCACTGAAACAACTGAATATCCACATGTGAAAACCCAAATAACTTCAATCTACAAATTGTACCATAAATAAAAATGAACTCAAAATGGATGATAAATATAAATGTAAAAGCTGAAAACATAAAATTTCTAGAAGAAAACACTGGATCAAAAAATCTTTGTGACTTTGGGTTAGGCAAAGATTTCTTAGATGTGACACCAAAAGCAAGACCTGTAAAAGGATCATTTGGACATCATCAAAATGAAAAACTTGTTTTCTTTGAAAGACACTGTTAAAAGAGTGAAAAGACAAAAGAAGATTAGAAGAAAACATCTATAAATGGGCTATCCTAGGATATATAAAGAACTACTAAAATTCAGTCATTGAGTTACGGTAACCCAATACAGATGTGCAACACATTTGAACAGACACTTCACGAAAGACAGTATGCTGTGGATGGGAAGGAGTGCATGAAAAGCAGCTCAACATCATTAGGGAAATACAAATTAAAACCGCAATGAAGGCCAGGCGCCGTGGCTCACTCCTGTAATCCCAGCACTTTGGGAGGCCGAGGCAGGCGGATTGCTTGAGATCAGTTTAGCACCAGCCTGGCCAACATAGTGAAATGCTGTCTTTACTAAAAATACCAAAATTAGCCAGGCATGTTGGTGGTCACCTGTAGTCCCAGCTACTCAGGAGGCTGAGACAGGAGAATTACATGAATCCAGAAACTGGAGGCTGCAGTGAGCTGAGATTGTGCCACTGAACTCCAGTATGGGCGACAGAGCAGACTCCATCTCAAAAACAAACAAAACCTAAAATGACTTTCTTTTCAAAAAATATATATTCAAAGAAAAAACAGTGAAATACTATAATACACTTACTAGAATGGTTGAAATTTTAAAGTGGTGATGATACCAAGTATTGGGAAAGACATGGAGAAACCGGAACTCATGAGAATGTAAAATGGTACAATTGCTTTGGAAAACAGTTTGGCAGTTCTTAAAAAGTTAAATATATACCTCTCGTGTGATCTAGTTATTTTACTGCTAGGTATTTCCCCGAGAGAGATGAAAGCATGTGCCTGCTTACAAATGTTCATGGTGGGTTTATTTGCAATAGCCCCAAACTGGAAAAATCCCGAATGTCCATCAACAGGTAAATGTGTAAATCACGATATATCCATACAACAAAATATTACTAATGAAAAGTCAACTACTGATATCTGCATGACATGGGTTAATCATAATTCTGAATAAAAGAAGTTGGATTTTAAAAATATATGATTACAATTATATAACATTCTAGGAAAGGCATACTAATCTAGAATGACAGATCAGATTGCTTTGGGATAGTGAGGAAGAACAGGAAAGAGGGGTTACTTAGAGATAGAAGCAAACTTTTGGGTCACGAGTAAGTTCACTGTCTTAATTGTGTGGTGATGATGTTTTGTGTGCGCGCACACACTTATGATTTCTCTGAAAATTGTTTCTTTGAGCACTCTAATGTAGCTGTCACTCTCCATTTCTTTGACTTATTTTACAATTCAGTTAAGTCTTTGGGAAAGTCACTTATGTCATCAGAAAAGAATGCCACCAAAATAGCTTCTCACTTAAGTTCCCATCCCCAGAGCTAACCCACAGGAGGTTCCGATAAATTCAAATATTTAATAACTTGTATTTTTCTTTGTCTTTAAACACAGGCCCTCTGGTCCTGGAGGCAGGATCATGTGGTGGATTCTTGGCAGTCAGCAGTCTGTGGAGCTTTTGCAGGTGCAAAGGATTATATTATACTGGGAAAGACCAAAGAGGGGGAAAAATGTGAAAATATTAACTATGTAAAAACAACATTCTTTAGAAATTCCAGATTGTTTAGATGAAGAGCGCTCCGTTAGTTGTTTGAGAAAAGCTTGTGTCCTAGGGAAAATAACTGCTAAAAAGGTGTCTGCCTGAAAGACAACCAATTTGTTTTTGACAAATTTTTCTTTTTCTTTTTATCTTTATTAAAGCCTTCACTCAGGCCCTGGAATTATCTTAAAGATGATTTATAAAGTCCTCTGTGGGAAGAGACTTGCTGTGGGTGTAGGGCTGACTGTGCAGCTGTCTGCCTTGGGCAGTGCTTAGGGGGTTTAAGCGATTTCTGCAAAAGGCAATGATTCACGGTTTGTGTGACATGTTTGACAGCACTGTAGATTAACTAGTGTCAGGAGAGCAGAGGCTCCTCCATAGCTTACTGAAGGCTAAACTGTTCTGTGTAGGAAGTATGGAGATCTACACATCTGTGCATTTTTGAGACATTAAAGCAAGAGCAAGGTGACAATATGCAATATGGTGTTATCCATCACTAAGTCATATGAATTTTCCATGAGGCTTTAATGAGAACTCAGATGCTTTAAACAAGTGATATGTTTAAAAGCCTAAGAGAGAAGTATATTTGGTTGTTACAAAGTTAAATGAGAATTATAGTTGAAATACAATGGAAATTTGCCAGAAAAAGAAACTTTTAGTTGAGATGTGAAGCCAGTAGGGGAGGTTTGGGGTGTTAACTTTATTGGAAAATAATTTTTTTCCAGTTTGTTTAATGGTCATTGGTTTTTTGTTGTTGTGATTGGGAAAACAGCAAATGTACGTTTTACAGGATTCTTTATTAATGATTAGACTTACTTGTACAATTGATAATCAAAAATCAGAATTTTGCCTCTAGACATGAAACCAACCCAGATTGATTATGATGGTAATTGTTTCCACATGACACAATAGTCATTAGCTGTGTTAAATAAGTAGGTGGTCTTGATTCATTTTCCAGAGGTCAAGAGTCATTATTCCCCAGTCTCTAAGAGAGATGTGCATTTTTTGTAGACTGTCTCCTGGGCCCTGGGGACAAAGTGAGCGCATTATGGAAATTCAGTCATCCTGGATAAGTAAGGCTACTTCTTAAAGTTAGCAATACTATAAAACTTGCATGCGTTGAAATAAGGAGAACATATTCTGTGGTCCTATTCCTTAAATACCCAATTCAAAGATCTGCTTCCAGAGACATTGTTACTATTAAGGAAATTTGCATTAATTACCATTTCCTTTTCTGAATAATACTCTGTAATAGACACTAAACATTTAGATGGTCAGAAGGAGGGGGAGAAGGGAACTTGCTATCAGACATCCTCTATGTGGTAGGATCCTACCATCCAGGCTCTTTCAGTTGAGGTGGTTCTCCTGGGGAGCGTGGCAGCATAGCCAGTGCTGCGGTGATGCTGAGAGGTGGAGAAAGGGAGCAAGGTGCCCAGAGCTACACATCTAGCACAGGCTGAGCTGCGTGACTTGCAGGATTGTCAAGTCTCTGTTTTGTCCCCAACTCAGGAATGAGACTTTGGGGCCCTCCTGAGTGCCAGTTTCCTTACCTGTAATGTAGAAGCAACAATTCCTACTTAGGGGATTATTTCAGGGCTTGAGATAATGTATGGTTAGTACTCTGTACTCTGTAAAACCAAGTCGATGTAAGGAATTACCACTGTTTCAGTAAGAACAACCAACATGCAGAAAATGAAAACCTACTATCACAGTAATTCACCTTCTTGATTGAGTGAAGGAATGTCATATCAATAAAGTTACTCTACAGAACAGTCTCCTCTAATAGCTTGTAAATTTTGAAATGCCTCCAATACAAGCATCTTATTTTTTTTGCAGAAGTTCTGATAAGTGAAGGAGTTTGTCCAAGGCCTGCAAAAAATCCATTGTCAGTAGATCCACATATATTTAGCAAAAGATAAATATATTTCTTATTTATGTCCCTTATTATTTTGAAATTTTATTTGGTACAAATGTTGATCTAGAGGAACAGGGTTACTATTTTAAAACATTTCTGAAGGATAAATGTCACTTGAAAATATTCCAATTTGTGAAAAAGTGAGGTTCTCTAAGAGTTGCAACATGGTGCCTTACTGAGTATAGAGATGAATGCTATCTTGTGCAGTCGCTTTAAAATACTTACAAACTGCCTTGCAGACTTTACCCTTACATGGCCATAAGGGGAATGAGAAAACTTGCCCTCAAATGGGAAATCAGAGTTCTCATCCCGTGTGCTTTTCCAAGTTTAAATTGGCTAAATCATTGCAGATGAACCATTCTGTGTGCCATCCTTGGCACTCTTTCTTGCTAGTGCTTGTTTTATAAACTACTTGGCACAAGTATCCAAAAATGTCCCTTGAGATTGGAGGTGTTGATGGCTTGTCATGCTCAGAAATTCCCTTGGCCAGGGGTTAAACTAGGGGGAAAAGAGGACTTTGCCAACTTCCTTGCTTCGGGTTACCATAATGCAATCTAAGTAAGCATGACATTTGCTACTATAGTGATATTTGGTACTCTAGTATATTTTGGTCAGTTTCTCGTAATAAACACCTCTGTACATTCTCTAGGAGAGAAGGGTGTGGGGGAGAAAGAGAGATTGATTGCAATCTCTCTGTGGGTTTGAAATTCTAGAATAGGGTGAGGGATTATTTGGGTAACAAATGAGAAGGCCTGACACAATCTTTATTAAAATATAAACAAAAACCGTTTTCCTTATTGTTGATGTGGAAGTCTTCCACATTGGCACACTTCATTGGAGGTCATGCCTAAGAGGGGCATGGTGGTGCTTTTGTCCCTCCCAGACTAATCAGGGGCAGCATAGGGTCTGGAGGAGCAATGAATGGCATCAAGGTTGCCCGGGAATGGGTTTGGGGACTTCCCCACTGCTGCCCCTACATTCTTAGCTGCTGCTCAGGGGTGACAGCTCCAGCCTTATTGTAGGAAGGCGGCTGCTTTGTCTTTATGGCAGGAGAGGGGGGCACAGTTAGGGAATCTGCATTTGTTCCTCAAGGAAATATGAGATACAGTGCTATCATAAAATTGTAGCTTCCCTTGAGTCCTGTCCTTGAAAGCCTAAAGTTAGCCTAACATTCAGTACAAACGTAACTCCAGTGGAGACCATGGAAAACTGTTTCACAAATGCTTTGAATACAAAACCAGCCTATAGTTGCTGTACCAAATAATTATTTCCTGTCTCATATGTTAGAATGCTCCTTGTATTTGTTACCAGTAGCTTACAGTGCCCTTAAATAAAACACTTAAATAACTACATTTTAACTGAAAGTCCTGGCCCAAGCCCTTCCCCGTTACGAACATTATTCTAGTCTATTATCTTCACAAGTCTTCCTTACAAAAGCATTATGAGGTCTGTGAGTTAGAGAAGTCTTTGATATTTGAGACAGGAAAATTGATTTATTAGCAACTTACATAAAATTCCGCTTCTCTCATGGTAGTAAAGTTAGGACCTGTTGAAGCATATGTGTTTCTGTCTGTAACTTCTCTTCATTTTAATTTCATGAAACCTAAATCTCCAAGATAATATTGGCAGGCATCCGCACTGAAGGAATGGTAGACCTTTGCTAATGGCCAAAATAAGTTTGATTTGCAGTAACTAAATTTATTAGATGTTCCTTATCAACCATTAGGTCTTAATTGGTTTAGGATCATTTGTGAACATTATCACATACGAAAGTTGGTTTTAACAATTGGACAGATTTTAAATTGTCTTATCATATATCAAAGCAATTAGGTAGTGGAACGAGTACTATTTTTGAAGTCACGATACACGTGACAGTCCCAGGTCCCATACCAGCTGTGTGGCCTGCACAAGTAAGCTGGTTGTAAAATGGGAATAGTAACACCTATGCAAATGAGATCAAATAATCAATGAAAGTGCCTAGTGCATTCCTGGCATGCCATATATGAAGTAAGCACCACAGATATTAGCTCCTACCTTTACCTTTTCCTCTCTTTTAGAGGATGAGTTGAAATCTTCAGTTTATAAAAACTAGAGACCAGGGCACCAATGAAGTGCTTTCGAGTGCCTGCTGTGTGTGCTGGTCTAGAGATGCAAAGAAAAATCACTTAAAAGCTCTATCCACACAGGAAAGAGTTAATTACTTAGTCATTACTGCTATGAGCCAGATGCTGTTCCAGACACATTGCTTTGGCCCATTTAGTTCCCGTGTCATAGTACTGTCTGCATTTTACAGATGAGAAAACTGAGGCCACTAGGACACCAGTGGCTGAGTCCCAGTTCTGGAGGCAATACAGACTTAAGATCCGTTCTCAGCTTCAACTAAGTAAACTCTTCAAGTTTTTAGCCTCTGTAAGCCTTGATTTCCCCACCTGTAGAATGGGGCAGTAAGAGTCCCTCGCTCATAAGGTATTTCAGCTAGAGAATAAGTAATTACCTTAGGCCAGACAACTGGTAGAGCAGGGATTTAAGCGTTAGTCTTTCCAGCTCCAAAGAAGGGTTCTTTCAGTCTAGACCCTGCTGCTGGTAAGAGAAACAAAACCGAATCTGTTATTTCGGGGTATGGGAAATTTGGGATAGTAAAGTTTGTTGCCTTTGTGTCTTTTTTCCTGTTCTTCCTTTCTTGGGGAATGGATACATACACACACACACACACACACACACACACACACACGAAGTGTTCATGCATCCTATTGTGTAATTAAAAGTATATTTACTTTTCTAGGGCAAAATACATGGTTAAAAACAAAAGTGTAGGATTTCAAGACCAAGCCCACAAAAATTTTAAAAACACAAAGTTTAGCAAGACTCTGAATTTCAGACAACCTCTGGATTTAAGACAAAGAGTTTTACATACTCATAATTTGAAATGGCTAAACCAAAAGGGATTCAAATATTCACGTCAGTTGGTAATACTTACCCCTAAGGTGTGTGACATTCGAGGGTAACCAGAAATGGACCCTGAGAGCGTAAATAGGTACACCTTTCAAAAAGTCAGTGTCATAGTAGATGTTACCATATGGAGGAGGTTGTATCATGATCTTATTTCAGCATCATATTTAGAAAGATATTTGGCAGAGATCAAATGACCTTGTTCACAAGCCACAAGAGCAAGAAGGAAACTAGTGCTATTTCTGGAGTATCCTTCACACACGTGTGTCCTGTTCAGCCCTTATAACACTGCCTCTTTCCCCCAGCTCATGGAAGCTGAATCTTTGTAATGCCTTTTAGGGTTTTTTATTTCTGTCTCCATAGGGCCTCTTGGGATTTAGAATGTATCTTTGTACTGCATTAAATGAAATCTTGACACCATAAATTTGGTTTATGTTAAAGCAGAAAGTCCTTCAAAAAGTCCAATCTGTGTACAGTTTAGCCATCATGACATTCAGATAATGCAAACATGAGAGAGAAGGTAAGAAGGAAGCCGTAACGTGTAATGCCTGCTGAACTCATGTTAAGAAGATGTAGAAGAGAGCTTAGAAATGTGGGAACTCTGACTGGACTGTTAACAGGAGCCTGTGAAATATAAAAAAGCTTTACTCCTTTAATTCAAAGAATCCAACCATGTATACCAAAAATCCCCACAATGTTACATGGGACTCTATTTGTCCATTTTCCTACGTGCAGATCAGAAACGACAGAAGCATTTTGGAGTCACTTTAAAGAACAGTGGCCCAGGCTGGGTGTGGTGGTTCATGCTTGTAATCCCATCACTTAGGGAGGCCGAGGCAGGAGGAGTGCTTGATGCCAAGAGTTCAAGAGCAGCTTGGGCAACATAGCAGGACCTTGTCTCTACAGGAAATTTAAAAATCAGCTGAGCGTGGTGGTGTGCATCTGTAGTCCTGGCTATTCAGGAGGAGGCTAAGGTGGGAGGATGGCATGAGCCTAGGAGGGTGAGGCTGCAGTGAGCTGTGATCACACCACTGCACTCCAGGGTTGGTGAGAGACAGTGAGACCCTGTCTTCAAAAACAAAAAAAGACAGTGGCCCATAGAAAGTCATGAACCCTTTGGGAACCATTAGGAGCAGTATATCTCACATACTGAGATCTGGCTGTATACATGTATGTCATATGTACATATTCATCATATATGTACACACACAAACACATTCATTAGATTGCTAGTTAATGAAAGAGCAAGGTAAATTGTGGAGCCCTGTATTTTTCCCCTGAGTGGGTAGAGCATTTTCTTTTACACACAGTTCTGTATCACTGCAAAAGAAATGAAGCATATGGGTAGATTTTACTTGTGTGCATCCTGTTCTTGCATCAGGTGTACATAATGACGATGTGATTTGGGCAGAGTTAGGAATTCTAAAAAATTACAAAATTATCATCTAGTCAGTAAGCAGTATCTCACTTGGGTTTTGGGTATTATTTGCACAGGTGGCTTTGCTGCTGCAGTCACCACACCTCTAGATGTGGCAAAGACAAGAATTATGCTGGCAAAGGTAAGTGGTGAAATAATGTAATAGAGACGTTTCAGATGCTCATATCTGTCAGCACTGGGACTACAGGTATATGAAGTGAATACAAATGGCTACCATTTACCTGTAATAGCATCTTATGCTGCCTGTGGAAACTAACAAAGCTGCTACCAATGGAGTAATGTCCTGAGTGTCTATATAACATTGTACCATATCACAATCATTTTCACCTATGTTACATAAGCATGTAGGGCCGACACGGCCATTGCCTGGTAATACTATCTTCAGATAAACTCTGTTTTTACTGGTGACAAACCTAAGTCTCAGGTTGACGAGCTTCCTGCCATGCCGCAGGTAACTGACAGGCTTTGAACCTAAGGTTGTGATTGGCCTTAACTGGATGACTTAAGACAGTTGTCAGAAATGTTTAAACAATTTTGTTTAAGAGAAAAATTGTTTTTTAAAAAACCCTCACCAGATGGAGAGTTGAAAGAATGCCATACACATAACATACCTGCACCAAACCAAAACAGAAAAAGTCCTAGCTGTGTGGAAAAGTAGAACAAATATGGGCCAAATTTTAGTGTAGTGGTGGCACAATCCAAGCTAAGACATTGGTGATGATTTAAGTGGAACATGGCGCTCTATTAAATATATTTATTAGCTGCTTAGGCAGGTTTCATAGTTGTATCATTTACACGAATGATTCCCGTCCTCCTCGTATTGCTTCATAGAGCTTCTGTCTTTCTCCTGTTGAATCGTTGTTCATCAGTCATCTGGTGAGCTCTGAAAAGCAGCCTCCCATGTGGCATGGGCCACATCCCTGCTTGCCTGCGTGTCCGAGTGTAAGTGCCTCTGAGCAAGCAAGCCAGGTCCTGACTGCCAGGAAGCTCCCTGGTATCTGACAGTGTTCTAGATGAGGGTGATACGGAGCCGTGTGTCTGAGGATATCTGGGAGGCAGCTGTGTGATGGGAGCTTCAGAAGATAACGGGTTTCTCTTTGTCTGTTCACACAGGCTGGCTCCAGCACTGCTAGTGGGAACGTGCTCTCTGCCCTGCACAGGGTCTGGCGCTCACAGGGGCTGGCAGGGTAAGACGAGGAATGCTCTCCTGCCCTTCTTCCTCTCCACCACTCCTCCCCCTTTAGCCTGACTTTGGACAAACACATCTCCTTCCCTTCTGCTTATCTTCTGATTTGAGTTTCTATATATTGTGCAAAATATAATAGTTAACGTTGTATATATGAGGTAACATAGCAAGTCCAATTGACAGAGTATTCCAGCCAGGCGATTCTCAGCCTTGTCCATCTTGATGTTAGATGGAATTCACCTGTGTGGCCCTCACCAGGGTCTGGGCTGCAGTGATGAAATGGGCTTCTGGTTACACAGTGCAGAAATACAAGGGAGTGAAGTTAACATTGTTAGAAGAAAGCACTTCTGGTTTTGATACTTTTAACTGTGAGTAGTAACAAGTTACTTCCAACATACCACAGTGCAGGTGGTGGGACTCCACAGCTAGCATGGAGTGAGAACCACTGTTCTTCAGAAGTGCCTTAAACTTCTAGCTTCATGTCCTAAAAAGCTGTCTCTGCAAGGTATTTCAACATTGCTTTGACAGCATAAACTTGTAAAGCCGCCTGAATGTTGGGATCTTGCAGGCATGTGAAATAAAGATTTTTCTCTTAGGGACCATCTACCAGGGATTTGCTTGCAAGAGGAAAGCAGCGGCCTCCCTTTGGAGAGGGTCGGCAGCTGCTGTACGCAGGGTAGAGGCTGCTGCCTGGACTTCCGGCGTCTCAGCTGGCACTGCCACCTCCTCCTCCCAATGCCAAGTTGGATCACTTATTTGATTGTAGTTTTTGTGTGCCTTTGGCAATTTTAATCTCAGCTGTTTGATGGTCTGGAGAATGTGAAGTAGGTGAGTCAGGCCCCAGTTAAGGTTTTGTAGGAGAGCAGCCCATCTAGATTGAAATTTTCCATCTGCAAGTTTGAAAAGTAGGTGATCTTGGATGGTTTTGTTGAATGTGACAACCCTGAGGGATTGGTGTCGGGTGCCCGAAGGGATCACAGTTTTGAGACAAGAACTGCGGTGAAGCCAGAGGAATAGTTGGCTGTTGACATCTAGTAGGAGCGTGGGAAGGACAGAGTGGGGGCATGTGTGCTGTAGGCCTGCCACTTGGGGCTACCATGTCATGAGGAAGTGAGACCCTGGCTGCTCGCATCTGTGGCACATTCATTCTGCTGCCAGTTTGACAGTAAACAAAGGAACCATGTGAGAAAAAATGAGTCCTGAAGCCACTTAGCCAGTAGCAGGTAAAAGGTCCTTATGGGCTGGGTGCATGGCTCACACCTGTAATCCCAGCGCTTTGCGAGGCTGAAGCAGGAGGATCGCTCGAGGTTAGGAGGAGACCAGCCTGGGAAGTATGGTGAGACTCTGTCTTTAAAAATAAGTAAATAGCCGGGTGTGGTGGCATGCACCTGTAGTCCCAGCTACTCAGGAAACTTATGGATTGCTTGAGCCTGGGAGATCAAGGTTATAGTGAGTTACATCTGCGCCACTGCACTCCAGCCTGGGTGACAGAGCAGGACCTGTCTCAACAACAGAAAAGTTGGTATGTGTTTCAAATAGCAATTGGGCTACATACACGGAGAAGTCACATGCAGTGGTTTTTTTTAGACTGTGAAGTCCAACTGCCAAATTTCACTGTCTCACCGATTTCAGTGTAGTTCATGTTTGATTCTGTGGCAGCTGTTGGGCACACCTCATCTGTCGACCGTAGCTCTGTGGAGCTGTGCAGAGCTGCAGCCCTCTGCCCTTCTAGAGACAGTGGTGACAGGTGGGGATGGCGTGGTCGGCTGGCAGCCTCATGGCCCCGAAAGCTGGCAGAGTCACATTGAGTAGATGATTGAAGATAATCTTCCCTGTCCTGGTTGTGGCTTGTACTATACTTGACATTATAAGTCCCAGAAATACAAGCAGAGGAGGAATGTCTTCCTCGGGCCAAGGGCCTGTCCCTGTCCCCACTGTCAGCTCTGAAAAGGTCGTCTGGATTTTTGTGCCTCTTCTGAAGCCTCCTAAGTCATGGGCTCCAGTTAGTCTGTACAGTGTAGTCCTTAAGAACATTACAGACAGCAGCGGTTGTCACTTAAGGGAGTTTTAATTCATCCCTTATTCATGATTAAAGACAATAAATAATTTGACAAAAACCAGTAACAGAAAAAGCTGACGGCTGTTATGAACAGAGGTCCCAGGCACCTTCAGCCTGAAGGTGTCTCCGCCGGCTTCCTCAGTTGGGCCTCTGGGTACACAGCGCTGCTGCCACCTCCTGTCTCCTCCCCTGGGCGCGCACTTGAGTTTACTAGGTACTCTTGGGCTTCTCAGCAGGCACCATCTCCTCACCTTGGGATGGAATGGTGCTGCCCTCTCGGGGTCACGTCAAGTGACCATTTTCATCTTTCCATGTTGTCCACACAGGTGAAGACCTTGTTCTGGCACATACTGGGAATACACATAGAAATATATTAACAAACATCATGTGTTCATTCAGCCCAGCAGCCAGAAGGCAGATGGGGAGCCTGCCCACCTCGATGTCCCCTTCCTGGTTTTCTTCACTCATCAGCTGGCTTTCTGTTTTTGTTGATTGTGCTCTTTATGTAGTAGCTGCCACTACTGTGAGCACCCCTTTCTTCTCAGTGCTGTAAATGCTTAAGTTTGCTCTCATTTAATCTGTGGGCACTGGAATACGGTCCTGCTCAATTCAGAAGTCTTCACCTGCGAGATCGGCTGGGGTGCTTCCTATACAAATTACTCCATGTGAAGGCTATAATTACGTAAATAGATTCAGTGGTCATCTAGTGAAACCATAAACTGCTTCCATCTGCCTCTGGCTAGGAGCAGCTGAGCTTGTGAGAAGCAGAAGCTGAACAAGACGCTGGCGTTTAGAAGTAAGGTAGTAAAGGCAGGAGAACTTTGTGGCCAGTGTAGTCTTCTGCAGCTCGGCTCCTGCTGGCATCCCGTCTAGCACCCTTTCCTTCTTAGGGTAGGAGCCGGAAGGCTCTTCTGTTTTTCATCTGTTTTTCATGCCAGAAGGACATAGCGGTAATGTATGAATTTCTGTCCTCACCACGCACCCTATGCAAAAACAATTTGCATGATGCTGTGCTTTTTTTTTTTTAAACAAGTATAGTTTAGTTTTCAATATGATTTTCATGGTTATTTTTAGACAAGTAAAAGGGGTCCTTAACCTTACGTGCAGTATTTTAATGATGTAAATCCTTTGTTAGCTAACTACAAAGGGCCCCACAAAACTCTTCTTAAGCCTCCCATTTTCCTTAGAAGTGCTGAGTGCTGCAGAGCGAGGCTGCCTCCCTCGACAACTCAAAGGTCTTGGGAGAAAGGACGCAGCCAGGTGCTAGGAGCAGCTGGCAGGGACCATCTTCCTGCCACATTTCTCTTCCAGGCCACCAGCTTGCTTGTCACAGAGGCTTTTCCCATACCTTAAAGGATGCACAGCTACTGCTGGCATAACTTGACCATTTTCAGTTTTCTTCCATAGACCCGCCCAGAAATCTTTTCACTTGCATATGCAGTAGTTTGGCCTTTATAACTCCTGTTGCTCACAAAAGTATTAGAGGCATCCCTTGCTTAATTGCACTTCTCAGATAGTGCATTGTTTCCAAATTGAAGGTTTGTGGCAACCCTGGTTGAGTGAGTCTTTCAGAGCCCTTTTCCAGCAGCACGTGATCACTTTCTGTCTGTGTCACATTTTGGTAATTCTCACCTTTCAAATGTTTTCATTCTGTCTGCTGTGGGGTCTGTGATCAGCCATCTTTAATGCTACTATAATTGTTTTGGGCATCCCACACTGCGGCCATCAAAGAGGGCAAGCCTAATTGGCAAGTGTGGTGTGGGTTCCGGCTGCGCCTCCAACCAGCCATTCCGTCTCTTTCCTTTCCTCAGGCCTCTCTTCTGTGAGACACACTATTGGAGTTAGGCCAATTAATAATCCTCTAGTGGCCTCTAAATGTCCAAGTGAAAGAAAGAATCACATCTTTCTCATTTTAAATGAAAAATGAGGGCTGGGCATGGTGGCCTACACCTGTAATCCCAGCATTTTGGGAGAACAAGGCAACAGATGGCCTGAGTGCAGGAGTTCGAGACCAGCCTAGGTAACAGGGCAAACTCCATCTCTACAAAAAATACAAAAATTAGCCGGGCTAATTTTTAGCCCTGGTGGTATGTGCCTTTAGTCTTAGCTTCTTGGGAAGTTGAGGTGGGAGGATCACCTGAGCTCAGCAGGCAGAGGTTGCTGTGGGTCATGATCGTGCCACTGCACACCAGCCTGGGTAACAGAGCAAGAGCCTGTCTCAAAAAAAATTAACAAATGAAAATCTGGAAATGATTAAATTTAGTGAGGAAGGCATGTAGAAAGCTGAGATCGGCCAGAATCTAGGCCTCTTGTGACAGCCAAGTTGTAAATACAAAGGAAAAGTTCTTGAAGGAAATGAAAAGTGCTATCCAGTGAATACACAAATGATAAGAAAGTATAACAGCGTCACTGCAGATATGAGGAAAGTTCAAGTATTCAGAATAGAAGATCAGACTAGCCACACATCCCTTTAGGCCAAAATCTAATCCAGAGCAAGGCCCTACCTCTCTTCCATGAAGGGTGAGAGAGGTGAGGAAGCCGCACAAGTCTGAAGCTAGCAGAGGTTGATTCATGAAGTTTAAGGAAAGAAATCATCTCTGTAACAGAAATGCAAGATGAAGTGGCAAGTGCTGATGGAGAAGCTGCAGCAAGTTATCCAGGAGATCTAGCTAAGATCGCCAGCGAAGGCGGTAACACTAAAAGCAGATTTTCAATGCAGACGAAATAGCCTTCTATTACAAGAAATGCCATCTAGGACTTTCTTAGCTAGAAAGGAGATATCAAGCCCTGGCCTCAAAGCTTGAAAGGACTGGCCCACTCTCGTTTAGGGGCTAAAGCAGCTGGTATGTTTAAGTTGAAGCCAGTGTTCATTGACTATTCTGAAAATCCTAGAGCCTTTAACAGTGCTGGTGAATCTACTCTGCCTCTGCTCTACAAATGGAACAATAAAGCTTGGATGACAGCACATCAGTTTACAGCATGGTTTCCTGAATATTGAAGCCCATTGCTGGGACGTACTGCTCAGAGGAAAAGATTCCTTTTAAAATATGACTGCTCATTGACAATTTACCTGGCCACCCAGGAGGTCTGATGGAGATGAACGTTGTTCTCATGCCTGCTAACGCAACATCTGTTCCTCAGCTTGTGGATCAAGGAGTAATTTTAACTTTCAGGTTTTATTATTTAAGAAATAGATTTAATAAGGCCTTGGCTGCACCAATAGTGATTCTTTTGCTGGATGTGGGCAAAGTAAATTGGAAGCCTTCCAGAAAGGATTCACCATTCTAGATACCAGTAAGAACATTAGTGGCTTCATAGGAGGAGGTCAAAATATTGACCATGCTAGGACGTTGGAAGAAGTTGATTTCAATCCTCATGGCTGACTTCAAGGGGTTCAAGACTTCAGTGGAGGGAAGTACATAACTGTAGATGTAGTGGAAATAGCAAGACACTCTAGTTAGAAGTGAAGCCTGAAGATGTGACTGAATCGCTACAGTCTCATGATAAAACTTGAACGGATGAGATGTTGGTTCTTAACGGATGAGCGAAGAAAGTGATCTGTTGAGATGAATCTACTCCTGGTGAAGACACGGTAAACACTGTTTTAAATGACAATAAGGGATTTAAAATATTTCATCAATTTAGTTGAGAAACAGTGGCAGAGTTTGAGACAACTGATTTCAATTTTGAAAGAGGTTCTACTGTAGGCAAAATGTATTGTGTGCTACAGAGAAATCTTTGATGGAAAGAAGAGTCCATCAATGCAACAATTATTATTTTTGGAAATTGTCACAGCCACTCCAACCTTCAGCAGCCACCACCCTGGTCAGTCATCAGCCATCATTCAAAGCAAGACCGTCTACCCGCCAAAGATTACAATTTACTGCAGGCTCAGATGCTCATTAGCATTTTTTTTTTTTTTTTGCAGTAAAGCATTTTAAAAGTAAGGTATGTACAGATTTTAGACATAATGCTATTGCATACTTAATAGACTATAGTATAGTATAAACAACTTCTCTGTGACCTGGGAAATGAAAAAATTAGTATGGCTTGCTTTATTGCAATATTCAATTTATTACGGTGGCCTGGGACCAAACTTGAAATATCTGTGAGGTTTGCCTTTACTCTTGGTAAAAAGGTCCAAAGGGTATGGAAACATGGGCCAGGAATGTGTCGTATAATCCATAGACAACAGTCATTCAGTTTAGGACACATCCCTCGCATGCCTTTTAGACGTGGAATCATACTATAGCCCTTGGACTTGGTTTTTTAAGCCTAATCTGTTTTGTAATTTTTTAATGTTGGCATCTGTGGATTTCCTCATCTTTATTAGTTACATAATCATCCACTGTGTTTATACTGTGCCATAACTTATGTATCCATCAGCAATGCCACAGTGTAGATCTTTGAACAAGTATCTATGAGTAGGTATGGGGGGCAGTTTTAACGAATGAATCGCCCCTTTATATTCTTGTGGCATTGTAGTTTGTGTTTCTGATTATTCTACATTGCACCTTGGCTGGTGAGTGGCCTTGGACTGTGCAGGTGTAGGCGTGCTGCCCCCTTCACAGCCACAGCTCATTTGCCTTTAGACAGAAAAGGAACACAGGGAATCCATGAAGGTTTGACTCGTTGTGACATCACGTTTTGGGGTCTCAAAGGACAAAATGCAACTGAGTTGGTGGAGCGGCTGCATTGCCCAAAAATCTCTTCAGTGAGCGATCCCCTGGAGACCACTTTGGAGGTCTGGGCTGGGAAGTGCCTTCCAGCTTTACCTAGGTTTCAGCTCTTTGATGCCTTTTTTTAAAAAGTCAATTTCATCATCTCTCAAAGGGAGAAATGGCATGAAAGTTGTAGAACTATTGTTAGGACAGAGCCATTGCTTGCCTTATTTGGGAGTGCTCACAAGTCTGCTGTTTGGTAGTTAGCCGCCTTGGCCAACAAACAGCTGGGCTCACACTTCAAGCCTAATTGGGGATGTAATTTAGTGACACTCTGAAAGAAAAAAAAAGGTACGTTAAGTAAGTGCCGTGTGTGGTTTAATGAGCAAGCTGTGGGTATTGGAATTTAACCTTTTAAAAATACAACATTAATAATGCTGTTTTTTTCCCCTAGATTATTTGCAGGTGTCTTCCCTCGAATAACAGCCATCAGTCTGGGAGGTTTCATCTTTCTGGGGACTTATGACCAGACGCACAACTTGCTGTTGGAAGTTGGCAGAAAGAGTTCTTGAAGCAGAGACAGCCTCACCTCCACTTCTGTCAAGAGAGGGGCCTGCAGTGTAAACCCTCCTTCTGCTGAGCAGCTGTCTGAGCTACAGGCCCCAGTGCCAGCGAACAGTTCTGCCAAGATGCTGGCATCGAAATTGTGCCATCTGTGGTATAGGCTGGCTAGTATAAAGTCAGTGGCCTTTATGCCAGAAAAGAGAAGAAAATGTGGTCCCTGGCGGTACTGTGAACCGTTTCCTCAGAACCTCTTAATAAATACGTTTGGTAATGCTGAGGCCAGGCCTTTCAGAGCTTTGATTTGATTTCTGATCTTTCATTTCCTGCCACCTGATGGTGGATTCAGCAGAAGGCAAGATGGTTACAATTTTAAAAGGACACTTGGGGAAGAAGTTGTGTATGTGGGTGTTTCTCCCCCTAGTTAATTCCTGGTGTGTAAGGTTAAGGCTTTGTTGAACAAGAATGAACTACAGGTGCATAGCAAACATTCTTTTTGGGTAACGAGGCTGCTGATTTTAATTACCCTCAGATTTCACCTATAAAAACACAATTGTATTGTTTTACAGAGACGTGTCCAGCGCCCCCTGTGATGTGTGAGAGAAAGCAGTTGCAGCTCAAGTGACTAGGTGGGCCCAGCTGGCTTCACGCAGGAGGGCACGATGGGTGAGCCATTCCCGGTATTCTACATGTCAGGCTGAAAGGAGGGCCTGGGCCGCTTTGAAAACAGCGTTGCTAGAAATAGGCAGGATGAAATAGGAAGGTCACCACACTTTGAGATTTTAGAGCTTGACTAACAAGCTCCAGGTGTGGAAGAATTCAGAACACGATCTCAGGAATCTAGCAGTGTTGTCTGCCCTGGAGCCAATATTCTTTCTTTCTTCGGGAAAGATAATTAAGGCAGAGTGGCTGTGTTTGTAAAAGAAAGACCACCAACTATACTGACATTTATAAATGAACCTTTATTAAAGACACTTCAATGCCATTTGTTAGACACTTCAATATTTTACATGGTTTTCAATGTACACTGTACCAAAATTTCTATAAATAAATAACTTTGTACATAAAAGTAATACTTCCTCTTTCACATTGCCTCTCAGAAGCAGCAAATTCACATATTTTGTGGAAGTAAGATTAGTCAGTTAACTGTCGAGAACAAAATTCTAAATGTGCTTACCTTTTGAACAGTGATGACACCTGACAGTAAAATTGACATTGTTAACTATTTTCTCAGTAACTCCCTTCAGCTTTTGGCCAAAGGAACATTTTAAGGACCTTGTTTGTTTCTATGTAATTTTTACTAAATTACACATTGGCACTCACAAGATGGTTAGCTACAGGTCTCAAAAGTGCAAATACACCCAGAACCCAGGTCAAAGGTGAAGTCTTTTCCAGTCCCAGCTCAGTTTTCATCTGTGCGAGGGAAAGGCACATGGACAGCCCTGCTCTGGATCCTCAGTAGAAATAAGGTAGCCCTGAAAAGTAAGAACTTCCTCCTTTTTATCCCCCAAGGCCAATGTAATGCTAATTATATTGGCAGAACGAAAACATCACTATAGAAAAATCCACAGGTACCAACACCAGCAGCCTTTACCTTAATTAAAAGTCTCAAATAGCAATCGAATGATACTGATTGATAGGGCCACATTTGCTTTTATCATAAAATAAGCTTCAGAGGAGGAGGAAAGGCAGTGTGTAACTGTTCTGACCACTTGGATTAACAAACAACCCTCATTCTACTCCTGAAAGACAGACAGACACCACTTAACAGGAAAAGCTATTCACTGCAGTGTGGACGGCACCTGCTCCCGTGGCGCTACAGGGAGGCCTGTGACAGAGGCATCTACACACAAGCAGTGCTCACCTGAAGCTCCTTCCAGCGCACGTGGAGTGTGGAGGCCAACCGAGCAGCAGCCTAGGGGTCTGTATATGAAGTGCAATACAAATCCAAGCCCTTCCATCCTTCCCCACCCCACACCAGAAACTCCTGGGAACAAATGTGGTTGTAGCCTTTATAAATTCCAGCCATGCGTTAAGGCACCAGAACTATTTCCCCTCCCCCCCCTCCAAAATTAAACAGCAACCTGATATGAAAAATAATATTGTCAACATTGTATAATTTTTTTTCTGTTAACCATGCACTAAAGATTAAAATAGCCTCTGTAAAAGATATATATGAAATCTCTGAAAACTCTTATGTACAATGGTATCAAATACTTTTTCTGCCTTTTGTACACAAATACCCTCTTGCATTTCTGTGCTTCAGATGCAAGTCCTGTGAACGACGGATACTCCACATGGCAGTTACAACTATATCCATCCACATCAGTGACGCCTGAACCCAGGCTTCCTCACCGCCTCTCCTACCTCTCTTTCCCGTAGAGATTGGCATGACAAGAGCTGAGGTAGACAAAACCTAGCTTTTTGGTGCCAACAGCAGGGGCACCCTCTGTTTGCCAGGGAGCTGTCCTGTTAGTGGTGTGGACTCGAGACTGGAGTCACATGCTTTGGGGAGGTGGCCATTGGAAACAAGCAAGTGCTGGGCTTCTGTGCGCTCTGGGTTGCTTGAAGATAACGAAGATGATGCAGGCTGCAGCTCTGAGTCTGGGTCATACAGCCTTGCTAAAGTCCAGGAAGAATCCCCTACAAGGAAGGAAAGGACCTGTCAGACCCCCACCTGACTGGTGTAGCAGCTCCCCACCCACCTGTTAGTGGCTCCTCAGAAGACAGTTACCTTTCCCGTCTAGAGATGCCGCTGGCTTTTTCTTCACAGCCGCCAGCATTCTGTCGTGGTTACTGGGGTAGAGCGACCCCTGGCACTCAGGGCAGGACCCAGCAGCAGTCCCGCTGCACTGGTGATGTGGAGAATGCTTTCGGTCACTCCCACCCGCCTCCGGGCCATGCGGCGCACCTGGCTGCACGCTGTCTCTGGACACAGGCTGGGGGTGGAAGGCTTGTTCCCTGGAGTAACAGTCCACCTCAGTGCTGCAGTCACTGCATACAACCCGGCCACCATGTTCTGAAGGACAGCACCAAAGAAGGGTTAGAGCCACTCTTCATCCCGTACAGAGAACAGGCTGCTCAGCTCTTCCGTGCCAGGTAAGAACGCTAACTGCAAACACAATGCATGCTTCCTCCCGCCCCTAACTATGTCCTCAGAAAAAGACTGGGCAAACACCAAGCCGCTCATGAATGGGTTTTTCGCACTCTGACAATGTAGTCTTACTACTTGGGGGAAAAAAGTCATTTGCCTTAGGTACCATGCAGCATTGGGTCTATTCAACAATTAGAAATTACAGCCCTGGTGCAAAGGTGCTGACAAACATTGGGTTCGTGCCTTGCCCCTTATTTAAGTTGCTCATTAAATAAGTTGCTCATGGATCTAGAAAATCCATGTTCAGGCTTAGCATACCACAGATTGATGTAGGAGAAACTATTCTGGAATTAAAAGAGAGCGAAGCCCAAGCTTTGCATTTATACACTGAATACCAGATTTGGAGACAGCTGTAGACTAATAATGTGTCTCCCCCTTTCATGTAGTGACTAGGTCAGCCCAAATTTCCATTTCCGAAAGGAAGACTGCAGATGGGAAGCATCTCATACCCATCTGATGTGGCCCAGGTGTCCCTTCAGCTTTCTCTGTCGCTTTCCACGGCTCTTCGTGGTAACCAACACAGAGCTTTGGCTGCCTGCAGGCAACGCTGTGAGCATCGGCCTCTGCAAAGCGGCTTGGATCTCTTGGACAGACACCTGCGATGGATTCCAACACAATCAGAAACTCTGGGCTTAGTATTTCACAGGAAGTCTTATGAAAGGAATGGGCAAGGCCACTAGAACAGTCATTTTTTTTTTAAAGTTCTCTAAAGTGGTGGGCTGTTGGTCTAGCAAGCAGCATGTTTTCTAATACTGCTTCCCAGCAGGCAGGCCGGCCTGTGAAGTGAGCAGCTCTCTGCAGGGTGAGCCGCTACAGTCTCAGGTGAGTGCTCAGAAGCCCTCCATCGTTGGAAATATCTCATCCCGGTGCCAGCTTTCTAGTATGAGACTGGAGCACAGAGCAGATCTGGGCACATTCTCCATGTAAGGAATGGGTTGGGTGGGAGCCCCGTATTGCCCTTTGTAGCTGCTACGCCAGCCAATCCTACTTTACCCTGCCGGGGAGATGCTAAGCCCAATACAGTGACTTCCTGGAGGGCTTTAAAACCTTGCAGAACTCATGAAAGCTGGGTCCAAAATAGCAGACCTTAGTCACACAGCTTTCCATCTAATGCCAGCTACATGCCCTGCAAAGAGCTAGAGGCCACCTCCAGCACCCAGAGACATAGTCACAGCAGGGCTCTGCTTCACACTGAGGCCTTACCATTGCTCTCAATGTGCCCATTGGCCTGATGGCCACCCTCGGTCCTGACCACGGTTTCTTGTCGGTCAGAAAGGGTCCCCTGAGAAGAGAGGTAGCTTGGAACATCTGGTGGCACAATGGTTTCATCTGCAAGGAGACAAAACAAATGAAACACCAGGATCACAGTGACAAGAAATGCAGACACATGTTCACTGTCAGGCTCAGAAGCGGTATCCTCCCAGTGCTGACCATCAGGGCTGGGCAGAGCGCGAGTGTGGAGTCCATGTATGCAGCAGGCCCTCCCAGCGCCTGCTCAGCCTTACTCTACACCCAGTGTGAAGAGCGCAGCAGGCAGATGCCACAGGAGGTGGAGATGAGTGATGGGAAGGGAGCCAGGATGCACAGAAGCACCACGCTGGGAGATTGTTTCAGCTACAACCTATGATGTGGCAGCAGGGCCTGTGCACAGGTGGCCCCTCAGTTACCAAGGAGAGGGAAAACTGCAGGGTGTGGCAGTTACTTCTGTTTGGGAGCATTGCTGTTAAAGATGAACTTCCTCAAAGTCAAAATGGCAATCAGTGGGACTAAAGCCTCAGGAGTTCTGAACGCACTGTGCTTCTTTCAAAAGCCACTGGACCACCCCCCCCCCCCAGTTCCCCAGCATCACTGTCGTTCCCCCCTCCCTGGAAGTCAGCTCCGCCAGCAGGGCCTGACCTGTGTTGGTGACACTGTACTCCTCACTCTTCTTCCTCGTCTGGTAGATGATGCACACCCAAACCAGCGACGTTAGAACGATGCTGCTCACCACGGCGATGGTGAAGATGCCCACCGTGGTCCCATCCTTCCTGCAGCTGGCCGCAGGCAGGATGCTCAGCTGGCTGTGAGCTCGCTCTGTGCCCAGGGTGTTAGACATCTCACAGGTATACTGGCCCGCATCCTCTGCCACCACATTCTGAACCACAAGC